TAATATCAGTTCCGATGGTTTCACCAGAATGTTTCAACTTTTTATCTTACCAAGAAAACAGTGTATAGTTTTAAATATGCACAAAATAATATAAAAAAGGAAAACTAGCCATTAATTTTTTTAGACCACATTTTTTAACTTCCCACTCTTTAGTGAACTGTGAAATCATTAGTAAAAACTCATTTTCAGAATAGATAGTTTCCCTTAGAGACAAAAGCTAAAAGTCAGCATTTATATGCAATAAAAAGTTACTTAGCCATTAGGAAAAGATTGAAATTTTGTTGACAGCATAAGTGGACTTCAGGGGCATTACTAGGCAAGTGAAATAAGCCTGAGAAGGACAAATATGTAATTTTTTGTTTGTTCTTGGTTTTTGGTCCATCTCCTGTGGTGCTTTTTGTTTGGAGGATCTTTGCTTTTTGTTTGAGGGATCCTTCTGGCAGAGTAGAACCTGGGCTTTCTGCATGCAAAGCCTTGTTCTCTGGCTTGTCAGTAATAGAACACTGAAAAGAATGCTACAAGTCCTATAGTTCTGATAATTTCAGGTCTTTGAGGTCTACTAATTTATTATGTGGAGTTTTATTTAATTTATTTTATTTAATTAGAAAATAATTCACTGAGATGCTTATAGTCAAATTTTATATCTCAATTAACTTAAAACTAGTTCTTTCCTCTATGTACTTATAAAACTAACTTTATATGAAGTTAAGTTCATTTGGTTTTGTTTCGTTTTGTTTTGTTTTGCTTTTTCGGTCACCCCCAGCGATGCTCAGGGGTTCCTCCTAGTTCTGCACTCAGGAATCACTTCTGGTGGTGCTCAGGGGACCATATGGGATAGTGGGGATCCAACTCGGTCAGCTGTATTTAAAAGCAAACACCCTGCCTCCTGTACTATTGCTCCAGCCCCAAGTTAAGTTCATTTGTTTCAGTTCGTATATTTGTTTTTGGGTTCAGAGATCACACCCAGCAGTGCTCGGGGTTTACTGCTGGCTCTGTGCTCAGGAATTACTTCTGGCCTGCCTCAGGAAACAATATGGGGTGCCAAGGATTGAACGTGGGTTGGCTACGTACAAAACAACTCCTATTGAGGACAATAGGATGTCCTCAATTTCCTATTGAGGACATCTGGATTATTTCTAGAAGTCTACTTTTACAAATAATGGAATAGTGAATGAATACCTTTGCACCTAAGTAATTATGCATTTTTTGCTAGTGATTTCGTAGGTAAAGATCAAATGTATTTGGGATTTTTCTGGATATTGTTATGCCCATCCAAAGACGATACCGTTTTGCACTCCCACAAGCAATGTAATCAGGGTGTGTAGTTTTGTCAAACCTCACTGTAGACTGTATGGTTGAACTCTGGGATTTCTATCATCCAGATAGGTAATAATATCAACATAGTTATAAATCATCTCAACGTGAAGGAGATTGTATATATTAGCATATGTTTTTAAGAACCCTTACCTTTTCTGTTGTTGTTATCACGCTTACATTTCAAACACCTTTTCTGTTCTGTTGTGAATCCTTTTCCATGCTGCCCCTGAGTTTAGTTACATTGTTATAAAGGTATTAGCTTTTAATTTGAAAAGTATTTTCCAATTTGCCAATTTTTATTTTGACATTATTATATGGGATTTTTAACGTTAAAATGTTTTATATAATTAGATTTTCCTTTTTATTTTTCTGGATTTTGAAGCTAGGAAGGTTTTTCCCACTTCAGATTAAAAAAGAATTGGGATTGGAGAGCTAGTACATTGGGTAGGATGATAGCCTTGCACATGGCTGACCTGAGTTCCATCCCTGGCTCCCAATATGATCCCCAGAGTTCCTCCAGGAGTGATCCCTGAGTACAGAGCCAAGAATAAGCTCTGATCACCACCAGGTGTGGCCCAAAAATGAAACCAAAAAAATGGATTATAAATCAATTTATTTTTCTGTTACCTATATAATTTTATGTTTCTTAATAAGTCACAGGTTTATTTGGTATTCTTAGTGTAATGTATGGATTCAATTTTATCTTTTTCCAAATAACTATTCAGTTGTCTTAGTACTTTTTTCCCTTACACATTTGCAATTTGAATCTTTTTCTGGACTTTCCATTCTGTCCCATTGTTCAGCTTGTCTAATATTTTAGTATTACAGTGTTTTAATTAATAGGTGTCCAACTGTTTTGTTACATGTTGTCAGGACTAGGTAAAATCAACAATTAGTACTCATACTCATTTATTTCATTTTGTCTCCCACCACCAATAATAAATAAGATGCATATATAATGTTGCAGTGTATGAAACAGGTGCTTCTTTGGTTCTATATTAATTACAATAGTTCTGAATCAGAGGTCAGGGAACAAACCTAGCTTTAAGTAACCCTTCTAAGTAAGTCATCTAATATATCTGACCCTATTGCTTAAAGGTCTTTTAGATTGTTCCTAATAGAGTAAGAGCACCACTTAGTTGTGGTATCTAGTTCCCCTTTTATTCCCTGAGCATTGTCCTTTTGCTATATTCCTGAGATAAACTTCCTTTTCTGGATCCTCATTCTTTCATAGTTTCTCGTTCCAGCACATTCTTAGCACATATTTCTTTCATTAACTTGCATTTTGTTGATCAAGCAAAGGATTGCCACTGTTTGGTTGTTCTGCTTCCACTGACCTCAGTGGGGAAAAAATTACATGTAGTAAGTGATAATTATTTTTCCCCCTGGCAGAAAATTTCTTAAAAATAAAAACCAGCTGTTTTTCTGTTTCATAAAGAATGGAAAGATTAAAAGTTTGCCTAGTAGTAGTTGAAGAAATCAGAAAAGACTACTACGAGGTCATCAGCTCTGGAGTTATCTGTAAGAGTTGGTATTTCTCTTTTGTTTTCCTATACTCATTCTTTAGGAGGTCAGAAAAAAAAGATGTTATGAAAAAGATGAATGAAAGTATATAAAGAACCTAATTAGGTTTATCTATCTTACATGTAATGAGAAAAATTAGGATGATTTATGGCACCACAAAGTCATGACCAAATATCAAAGCATATCTTAAACTAAATGTTTATTTAAAAAATAATTTTAGTTATATATATATGGATGCAGTTTTTCCTCTCGGAGAGCCTGGCAAGCTACCGAGAGTATCCCGCCCACATAGCAGAGCCTGGCAAGCTACCTGTGACATATTCGATATGCCAAAAACAGTAACAATAATGGGCCTCATTCCCCGGACCCTGAAAGAGCCCCCAGTGTGGCAGCATTGGGAAGGACGAGTAAGGAGAGGCTGCTAAAATCTCAGGTTTTTTGTGTTCCTGGAGCAAGCAGATGCCATTGGGCTACACTAGCATGAGACAGGATGAATGGAGACGTTATTGGTGCCTGCTCAAGCAAATTGATGAACAAGGGGATGACAGTGATACAGTGATATTTGTGGAGGCTCCTGAGCAGTGCTCAGGAGGTCTGGGGGTTCAACAGCGATTCTTGACCATCTGGGTCATTGGCTTAGTGCAAGTGCTCAGGATGTTCAGGCCCTGCAGTGGCGGAGATACCCTGGCCCACCTGGCAGTGCTCAGGGCCTCCAGGGCTACAGCCATTGCTGCCTTGGGAACCATGTGCTGGGAATTTAACCCAGACCAGGTGCCTGCTAGGCATGTCCTCTAACCACTGTGCTATCTCCTGACCCTGTTCAGTACTTTTTCTGGAAAAGCCCAAAGTTAAAATGTCTCTTTTCTGTTTTGTAAGATGTCATTTTGTTTGGATATGAAAGGTATATGAGAAGAGACTTTTTAAAGAAACTGATTTTAAAACTTGTGCTCCGTTCAGGCCCTGCAGTGGCGGAGATACCCTGGCCCACCTGGCAGTGCTCAGGGCCTCCAGGGCTACAGCCATTGCTGCCTTGGGAACCATGTGCTGGGAATTTAACCCAGACCAGGTGCCTGCTAGGCATGTCCTCTAACCACTGTGCTATCTCCTGACCCTGTTCAGTACTTTTTCTGGAAAAGCCCAAAGTTAAAATGTCTCTTTTCTGTTTTGTAAGATGTCATTTTGTTTGGATATGAAAGGTATATGAGAAGAGACTTTTTAAAGAAACTGATTTTAAAACTTGTGCTCCCACCACAACACCCAAAAGGAGAGAGAGAACAAAAGGGAATGCCCTGCCACAGAGGCAGGGTGGGATGGGAAGGATGGGTGTGGGAGGGATACTGGGATCCATGGTGGTGGAAAATGGGCACTGGTGGAGGAATGGGTACTTGATCATTGTATAATCGAAACACAAGCACAAAAATTTGTAAATCTACAACTGTACCTCATGGTGTTTCACTCATAAAAATTTTTAAAAAATAAAAGGTGTCTGTATTTATAGAGATAAAATAAAATATACTTATTTTGACTTTGACCTGAAAGAAAAAAAAAACTTGTGCTCCCTTAGCAAAATAGATACTGTCTCCATCTTATGGTCCTGCTCATTTTTTTCTCCAGAGTTAATATTCCCAACCTAACCCTCCAATTTGATGTTTGAATAAGTTTGCTTTACTATTTTCAGTGAGAACAAAAAGAAAATGTCTGCATTTTGAAATACTCATTTTAATATCTCACCCCTGCAAACCTAAACTACTTGACACTTGCATCAATTTAAAACCATTTTGTTTAATATGTATTACATGTGTTTTTATTTCTTCTTTATTTCATACTTTGAAGTAGAAAAATATAATTTTATTTTTCCAAGGCAAATTTATATATAACTTTTGAGGAGGGGGAGTCTGTTGAATAATAAGTATATAAAGATTATTGGATTGCAAAAGTTAAGTTGTTGACACACATACCATCCACATAATGTTAAATATACTATACATTAAATTTAGGTGGTACAATCAGAAATAGATCACTGTGTATATTTAATTTTTTATTAGTCACCATGAAATTACAAAATTATTCATGATTGGGTTTCAGGCATACATTGTTTCAGAACCTATATAATTTTTAAAAAAGAAAGAAAGAATTCTATTACTCATATAGATTCTGAGCGGTTTTGAGGTGGTTCCCTTATATATATCAACATTGTCTACCAGTACCATTTAATATAGTTTGTCACATGAAAACAAAAAAGAAAGAAGGACTAAGAAAGATGGAAGATCAAATACAAGTCAAGTTGTAATACTTATAACAGTTCGGCAGGTGGGGGTGGTAAGGCTTCATCCAGGGCTTCGTCTGAGTCAAGAGAAATAGAGAACTCCAGATGCTGACTCTGGATCTCATTGTGGGAATCGTCCTGGTTTTCAGTAAGATCTGCTTCTGGCAGGGGCAAGTTAGGTGCATCAGGGGGAGGTGGAAATGACTGTTTGAATTCAGAATTATCTTCACAGACTTGATTGGGACAATCCAGGGGTGATATGTGATTGCCAGACTCATTTGGAAGGGGAGATGTAACTGGCAATGTGAGTATGTCAGATTGGTTCCTCTCCTGTCCTTCTGCCTCAGTCAGTGGGGGAGGAGGTGGCAGAAAAAGATCCACATCATCTGAAGAAGAAACAGCTGTGCCAATTGTTGATCCATCACCACTGTCCTCTGATGTACCATTTGCCTGATCATTTGTTTTTTCTGCTCTGGGGTTGCTGGACTCTTCATTATTTTCACTTGATTCAAACAATTTGATTTCCAGGTCATCTGCTAAAAGTGTATGTTTACTTGGTTTCCAGGCCATAAGTGAAACAGTTGATGTACGTTTTGTGGTTGCGTCATTTTCTCTGATGTCCAAACATATGTCGGGGGTTTCACCATCAGCAAATGGAGACCTTCCTGCCCAGTTCTGATCATTTGTAACTGGTTTTCTCAAGTATTTCCACAGTACAATCACAGTTATAGCCAGTAACATAGAAGTTAGAATTACACCTATTAATATGGCAGCTATTGAAGTAGAATTGGTTTTATGTGGATATTTTTCATTACTCTTACCATTTAGGATAAATCCTGGTGTACCTCTAGGTGAATTCTTGACAGTTGGTATTGATTGTGTGGATACACTATAGGCAGTGGGTGATTTCCTAGAAGTATGGGCAGATAAAGCCGGTGGTTGAGAAGTATAAACAAATGGAGGCGATTGTCTTGTGAAAACATTAGTAGATGGTGGTAGTCTGGAAGAGGTTAATGTCGATAATATTTCCTCGGAGGAAGTGTTGACTCTTGTTGGTTGTCTAGTGATGTTGTAGACGAGAGTTTGCGCAGCAGAGGTATATGCTTCTGGTTTTCCAGAAGCAGCTTTAATAGTTGGTTTCTCAGTGGTGACTTCGATAAGAACTGGTTGTCCAGAAGATATGTTGTTGAATTGTGTTTGTTGACCCAAAGGATTCCCTGTTGTGATCTGAGAATTTTCTGAGACAGATGACATTGATGATCTAAAAAGAGTAGACCATGATTGCTTCTCTGTTGTTATTGCCTCTGTCTCGGCAGAAATCATATTGTTCAGGTGACCATAAAACAAAATTAAGATGAAATATTTGGGATCCATTTCAGAATGTTTCCTCTTTATGAATGGGTTTTAAAGAAAAAAAAAGAAAGACAAATGAATATCATTTGGTGATCATTTGGTGTTTGGCATAAAAGTAGGTAGATACTTGCTAAGTATTTATAGTTCAAAGTTAGACTTTACACACACTATAACAGCATAAAGTATTCTTTAATGTACTCTAATTCATACAATATTTAGATTACATACAGTGATCTTCTTAGTTTTATTTGTTTCGTTTATAATTGATATTTTGCTTCTCATGCAGGGCTCAGGAGCCACTCTTGGTGATAATTCAGCCATTCAGTAGGCCTAACAGTTCAGTGCTGGGGTTCAGAGATGTGGTATCGCTTAGGTGCAGTGCTACTGGGAATCCCCAGGGCCACATCCAGCAATGCTCAGTGGGCCATGTGATGCCATGAATTGAACTTGGGACCAAGTTCATGCAGGGCTAGTACTCTTTACTCTTTGAGCTATCTCCTGCAGCCCAAACAAACCCCAGAAGTCAGCCATTATGAGAGAGATTTGATGTTCTGTGCAAGTTACAGGGTACAGCCATAGGAAAAGTGGAGCTCCCCCCAAGTTATACATATAGACTTTTCAAAATATTTTGCTATTTTATTGCTTACTCCTATCACACTGGTAATAAAATTCCCTAATGTAGTAGAAAAGGCATAATATTTTTTTCTTCTGCAGTCGTATTCCTTTTTCTATAGATAGATAGATAGATAGATAGATAGATAAATATGGGCTGGAGCTATAGCACAGCGGGTAGGGCGTTTGCCTTGCACGCGGCCAATGGCTAACCCAGGTTTGATTCCTCCGCCCCTCTCGGAAAACCCGGCAAGCTACTGAGAGTATCTCTCCCCGTACGGCAAAGCCTGGCAAGTTACCCGTGACGTATTCGATATGCCAAACACAGTAACAAGTGTCACAATGGAGACGTTACTGGGCCCGCTCGAGCAAATCGATGAACAATAGTAGTGACAGTGACAGTGATATATATATTATATGTGTGTGTGTGTATGTGTATACACACACGAAAAACTTAATGATCAGAAGAATATACAAGGATTAAGGTACTTTATTCTCTGAACCCAGTTTGATCCCTTGAACCACATAGGTACCCCCACGCACCGCCAGGAGAGACCCCAGAGAACAAAGCCAGGAATAGCCCTTCAGTACTTCTGCATGTGGCCCAAACCCTACCCCAGCCCCACTCAAAGAGACTCTAAGACCTCAATTTAAAATTAGTTTTCCTTTACATTCTCCTGTATACTGCAAATGATTTCACCTGTTTTTAAAAGCTTGCATGATCTTCGATTGAGGGCTCTCCATTGAGAGCCCTAAAAATCCTAAATTGGGTTTTCTTCTTTCTGTTTTGAATTTATTGTGCAGATTTCTATTTCATTCCTGGAAATGTCTCATTTAGCCAAATATATATCTTATGTACTTTTTGAACATTTTTAATTATGCTGCTCTTCACACTTCTGGAATAAGTTCTTTTTTCCAACCCTTCTTACATCTAATTGCCTATTTAAAGTTGTCTTTCTCTTACATACCTTAGCTTAAAATTCCCCTTATTAATTTTAGTTCTCTGTGACTGACCACAGTCTAAAGAGATTAGCTATCCACTGAATTCCCCTAGTTTTTATTTTCTTTATGACTTGTTGGATAGTGCTTCATGTATGCATCTCACTAATATTTTCTGAAATAATTGTGTTGTTTTTATTATTTAACTTTCTATCTTTTCTTATTATTCCTACCTCCTCAGATATGAATATAAAGAACCAACAAGAAGGTATAAAGAGGGACCAGGGAGTACAGTGGGTAGGTCACTTGCATTGCATGCAGCCAACCCAGGCTCAATTTCCAGCATCCCATATTGTCCCACAAGCACAGCCAGGAGTAATTCCTGAGTGCAGAGCCAGGAGTAATTCCTGAGCATCACATATGCCCCAAAAACCAAAGAAACGAGAAATACCTGCCTAGGACGTACTATGTGCTTTTCTATCCTGGGTGTCTTAGATGCTTCTTCTTCTTCTTTATTTTTTTTAATCTAAATCACTTCGAAGATTTTGATAAATAGGTAAAGATACAAACTCAAAGGAGATAGGCAGTTTGCCCCGTGTTCTATCACTATTTAAGAACATGTTTGGAATTTATACCAAGGGCCACCTCCTCCCCCCCACACCCCCATTGAATCACCGTGCGCTACTCTTACAAAGCTTTCATGTTTGAGTTTCAGTCATAGAATGACCAAACACCCATCCCTCCACCAGTGTACATTTTCCACCACTAATGTCCCCAGTAGCCCTCCCCCCTCCCATCCCACCCTACCTCCTTCCTCTATGGCAATTTCCCTCTTACTATCTCTCTACTTTGGGACATTATGGTTTGCAATACAGATACTGAGAGGCCATCATGCTTGATCCTGTATCTACTTTCAGCACACATCTCCCATCCTGAGCTATCTCTCCAACCATCATTGACTTAGTGATCTACCCAGGGCCATCTTATTCCAAAGTATATGCCTTTTTACTATCTAAAACTGCCCTAGCTTTTTTGGTGTGATGATTGAACCAGAACCCTCATATATGCCAAACATGCACTGAACTATGTCTGGAACCCTCATGTTTTCATATTTGTTTCCTCTACCTCTGACATTTTTATACTAGGCACTGGTCAAGCGTTTAATCTCTGTTAAGCATCTTGATCCCTTTCTAGTTCACTTTTCCACTGTTTATTAATACTTTTACCAAAATGTAAATAAAGGAGGTAAAATTTAAGTTATTAAATTCAGCTTTTTTTCCATATTACAAAAGGTTGCTTGGGAAAAGTTTTAAATTTCATTACCAGATATGTAGATTTGAATTACCTCTTTCTTGGCAGTCATTGTCTGTGTACTTCCTATTACTATTCTTACAGATTACCCCCAAAATTTAAAAAAAGAGAGAGAGACTTAATTAGAATAAGTAACTTCTTTAGAGTTTCACTTTAGCTTTTTAAAAATTCTATCTAAAGTAATGGAAAATATAGGCCATGATTTGTGTTCAGTCAAAAATGTTTCCTCTTTTATGACTTTGCTTAAGAAAAGGCAAAAACAATTAAAATACCCAAATGGTTCCTCTTTTTAGTTAGCAAGAACAGGCATAAGGAAAGTGTCCTAACAGGAATATGATTTTGAACCCAGTTTAGTTTTCAATATTGGTTTCATAGTTCATAGCCTCTTTTGTCAATAGGAAGGTCCTAGGAACATCAGTGTAATAGGTCTTTCATTTCTCATTTATGGGTTATAGAAACATTATGAGCAAATCTTTCATTTCCCATTTTGTACAAGTTTTTCCCACTTTTCAATTAGCTGTCTACCCTTCTAGAATCTGTTTCATCAAAATTGTAGAATATGTATTAAAACTTTACTATGGCAATTCAGAAGCATCAAAAAGAAGGAACAAGATTTAAAAGAATAAAGGAATAATAGATTTTTTCCATAGCTCAGAAACAGTGAAGTTGTATTGTTACCAGTGAAAAAAATTATTTAACATAGATAGTATTTTGGGAAAAATATCAACTCTCTATTCCTGGAATGCCAATATTTTTTCTGCAGGGGAAAAAGGTAGAATGAGAACCATATGGAGCAAGGTTGTAAGGGAGAAGATGTATAAAATAAAATAAAAAGGAAATGCAAAGCAATGCAAAATACTAAAAAAAAATGAAGTAAAAGTTATGCTACACAGCAGCAGATATACGGGAAAACTGAAGAAAAAGGTGATTGTGTAATCAGCAAAAAATTTGACTAGAAGATTAAAAGTCAGCAAAATTAGAAATAAGTTGTGAGGAAAGATTGAAGTAGATAAAAAGGAGCAATTACATGGTTGGAGAGCTCGTACCATACCAGAGTTAGGTGCTTGCCTTGTACCAGCTGCCCTCCTTGGATCCCCAGAATAGCATATGGTCTCGCAAGCACCAAAGGAGAGATCAGCCCTGGAGCACAAAGCCAGGATCAAGTCCTAAGCAATGTTGTAGATATGGCCCAAACCACTCCTTCTCCCTAAAAGAAGAAGCAACCCACAGGGCTAGGAGCCATCCTGAGCATAAGCAGAGAACCCCTCAAAAGTGACAGTGTGGCTCAAAAAACAATTCACAAAGTGATGTTTCATGGCACTGGCCTTTATCTGTAGATCCCTAAAATCAGCCAAAAAGGACTTCCTTTGGGAAAAAGATGAACGACATGAATCATCTCAGCAACTCATTTCCAGCTCTCCTTTCTCCTATAGTAACCTCTTCGTCCCCTCCAGTCTCTCTTTCCCTCCCCCTTTTTTCCTTTACTGCTCATTCCCGTCTCTGCTCACAAGCATATATGCCAGTGATACCAAAGGATTTAGGGACATTTTCTAGATCTTCACTAGCCTGCTGCCTGGGCAAACCCCAGATTTTATCTGTGTTTGTGCGCAGTAGTATTTTGCTTATTAATTTTGGTTGGTGCTTTAAAGTTTAAATCTGTGACTTCCTCTGCTTTTGCTTTTACTCACTATTTTATTTTGAAAAAAAATGGGGGGGTGGGCAGGAGCAGAGCAATAATACCGTGTGTACAGTGCTTGCTTTGCATGCAGCTAACCCAGTTCAAACCCTGGCACCCCATATAGTCCCCTGAGCACTGGTAGGTGTGTCCCCACAAAAAAAACTAAATTTAAAAATAAAATAATTTTTGGGGACTGGAATGATAGCACAGCAGGTAGGGCATTTGCCTTGCATGCGGCCGACCCAGGTTTGATTCCCAGCATCCCATATGGTCCCCTGAGCACCACCAGGAGTAACACCTGAGTGCAGAGCCAGGAGTAACCCCTGTGCATTGCCGGGTGTGACCCAAAAAGCAAAAAAATAAAATAAAATGATTTTTAAAAGGCCCTCCCGTTGATCGTCGATTTGCTCGAGCGGGCCCAGTAACGTCTCCATTGGAGACTTTGTTGTTACTGTGTCTGGCATATCGAATACTCTCGGTAGCTTGCCGGGCTCTCCGAGAGGGTTGGAGGAATTGAACTCGGGTTGGCCATGTTGGCCGCTTGTAAGGCGAACGCCCTACCCGCTGTGCTATTAAGTTGAATAAAATTATGAGCTGTTTTAACCAAGCAATTAAAGCAGAAGTTCCATTGGACGTCATATTTTAGACATGTTTTCCTAAATATTATGCATAAGTATATAAAGAAACCAGTATTTGTCATCATTGATGCTATGAAATTGAAATAAGAAATATCATTGTCTTTTTGTAAGCAAAATAGTTGAATTTCGAGAAATAGGAGGGAGGAAGAGAGAGAGAGAAAGACAGGGAAAGAGAAAATGAGTACATATTACAGAACACGGTTTCTCCAGAGGGGCGAGAGCCATGGGTAAGCTAGGTCAGAAGGTAAAAGAAAGGTTGACATACAGGCGATTCCCAAAACGGGGAATGTTCCAGAACTGCCATTGTCTTTAATTTACTTTACTTTGGTGTGTGTGGGGGGGGGGGAGGACCTAGGGTCTTATGGGCTGCACTCCTAGCTTTGTGTTTAGAGAGAGCTGCTAGCAGTTGGATGTCTGTAGGTGGTGCTAGGCACCAAATGTAGCACTGCACTGTAGCTGCACTGTAGCACTGTCCTCCTGTTGTTCATCGATTTGCTCGAGTGGGCGCCAGTAACATCTCACAACAAATTGTGAGATTTGTTGTTACTGTTTTTGGCATATCGAATACATCATGGGGAGCTTGCCAGGCTTTGCTGTGCAGGCGAGATACTCTTGGTAGCTTGCCGGGCTCCCTGAGAGGGGTGGAGGAATCAAACCCAGGTGGCCACGTGCAAGGCAAACTACCTTACTGTAGCTATCACTACTACTGTGCTATCGCTCTACCCAGGAACCAAATGTAGATCAACCATATGTAAAGAAACACCCTATCTACTATACTATCTCTCTGACCTGCCATTGTCTTTGAAAGGGAATCAGCATGATTCGGAGAGCATATATATCCTAGACAAAAGGCAAGTATAGGGAGTGGTATCAGAACTAATATAGCAGGGGGGCCGGAGCAATAGGACAGCAGGTAGGGTACTGGCCTTGCATATGGCCAACCCAGGTTTGACCCCCAAGACCCCTTGAGCCTGTCAAAAAAGTGATTCCTGAACACCGCCAGGTGTAGTCCCCAAAAACAAAAAAAAATAATAATACTTGAATTTTAGTTTTTTTTTAATCTAAGGAAAGTAACTATTGTAATGTAGGTATATTATAGTAAAATTTAGTAATAATTGAGGCCCAAGCAATAACAATGGGTAGGATGTTTGCCTTGCAATGGCTGACCCGGGTTAGATCTCAAGCATCTCATATGGTCCCCCAAGCATGCCGGGAGTGAATCCTGAGTGCAGAGCCAGGAGTAACCCCTGAGCATCTCCAAGTATGACCCAAAAAGCAAAAAGTAAAATTTAGTAATAAGTAATATGTCCCAGATTAGTGAAATTATGAAACCATAAAGGAAGGAAAGGTAATTATCTGTCTTGAGGAAGAGCATAAGAGGAAATTAGTCTTAAGCTAGAATAGGAAATATTTTATGTCTGTCTTTTATCAATAATAATAGCTGCCATTTGCAGCTACCAAATGCTAGCCATTATCCTATTTTAATGAGTATAAGGTGGTAGCATCTTCACCTTGCAGGTAAAAGAACTGAGATTCAGAAGAGGTGGGTGATAATGCCAGTGACACAGCTCTAAGTAGAGAAACTATATAGTAAAAAACATGTCATACTTGTATTAAAACGCCTTCTGCTCTGTGTCACTAGTTATGCTGCACCTTCTTTTTAGTAAATTTATTAAATATAAATGCTTATGAAGGGAGGAGGTATGAACTCTAACGTCTGTAATAGAGGAATCCATAGTGATCCATAGAAATCTACAAGATCTTCTCTAAGACTTTCTAAGAGAAAGTCATAAACATTTATGAAATGTAGGCTAGTCTGTCACCCACTGTGAATTTATTATTTCATGATATTATCAGTCTGTAAACTTTTTGCATATTTTATTTTGGTAGATGTTTACTTTGTAATTGCCCAGTTTACTCACAGATAGTCATCTTCTATACAAAAAAAGCAGTTTTTTGTTTTGTGGGCATTTTTTTTTAAGTCTTTTACAGTATTTTTAAGACTTAGATAACAATGATAAAATGTAGATGTATGAATATGTGCACGCATTTTAGTACAGCACTATATCTTGGAGAGTTTTAAAAATGAGTTATATCTTCATGTCATTATTACCTCAGTTATATTTGTGCAAAAATTATAATCAAGTGATTTATATCATTTTCTTGATTTTTTTTTCAAATTAACTGAAGGTGACCATTCTTATTATGCAAACTGAAGGTGATTAAAAAATAAAAAGCAGCTTAGATCTATGTTATGTGCAGAAAAATTGTATAGAAAGCAAGTCAAAACACTTAACAGTTGGATAAATAGTATAAATTTACTGGATTCTGTTTTATTTATAACCCTTAGCGTTAAAAGCCATGACTATAGTTATTTCTTTTTTAATTACAGTGCTAAAGTTAACAGGCATTTTTACTGAATACACTTCAAAAAAGCTTGTACCGTACAAACCCAGGTGAAAGTTTTTCTTCAAGTTTAATACTGATTATTTTTAAATTCCATTCAATAAAACTTTCTCATTCAGTAAGATACTTTTAGAATATCAGTTGGTTTAAAACCCTAACAGTTCATTTTTTAATACATTTTATATAAAGCAAAGATAAAACCAGATTGCTTGTGTGAAAATTTTCTTACCTCAGCTGTGAATTTCTTTCTCAGGATGCAAAATTCTTATTCTAACTGGATATTTTGGTGATTTGGCTAAGAAAGCAAAAGGGGTGGTTCAGTTCAGATTAAAAATGGTCTCTTAGCAAACTGAAATGGTTTCTGTAGAAAAAGAGGAAGTTTATCAATAGATGATTCCGGAAGTGCAATAACCACAAAATGACTAAGAAAGTACTACTTTAACAGAACTCATTTTGAAACACAATTTGGAGCTGTATTTTGATGGCTTTTAATTGGTGTATGTTAGTACTCTTGAATAATAGGATTATATCATTTAAAATTTTGATTATAGTCCTGCAAAAGTAATATATCCTAAGGAAAAGTCACTCGCCCAGAGTGAGATTTCTTTTTTGTCAGAAATGAATTATGTGTTCTGTTTGCTTGTATGACCTTTGGCAGGTTATTGCATTTCTGAGTCATCATTTCCTCCTCTGGAGGGATATTTCCCTTATTGAGGTATTGTGAGAATTAACTATATAATTAATTAAATATTTAAACATGTAACTGCTTCACATCAAGTTGATAACTGTGATTTTTTTCTCGTATAATTAAGGCAAATTCCAGGGAGAAAAAAAAAAGTAGATTTTTGCTAAATACTTCACTAAATGATCTTTTAGTTCAAGTGCACACTCTGATTATTTACAAAGTAGGTGCTCCTTAGTTGAAAGTAAAATAAATTGGCAATCATTTGTTAAATGACTTAAACAAAATATATTAAAAAGTACCATCCATAAATCAGCCTGAATAAGAATTTCTTTTCACAAGTCAGCTTATAGCTTTTTTCCTCATCCTAAAAATCAAAATATCCTGGGGCTGGAGTGATAGCACAGCGGGTAGGGAGTTTGCACGCGGCTCAACCCAGGTTTGATTTCCAGCATCTCATATGGTCCCCCCAAGTACGGCCAGGAATAATTCCTGAGTGCGTGAACCAGGAGTAACCCCTGTGCATCGTTGGGTGTGACCCAAAAAGCAAAAAAAAAATACAACAAAAAAATCCTAATTTGTGTTTCTTAATGTGACAAAATATGCTTAACATCTCATAATAGTACAGTGAAAACTAAATCATACCCAGCTTTTATCTAGTCACTGCAGAGGAACACAGATTATTAAGACCCAAGTTCTTGCCTTCAAAAACTTGATACGAAACAAGTTTTTTGTTGTTGTTGCTTTTTACTGAATGAATATAATAAAACTGCTATAAATGTTTGATATGCTACTTTTGGGCTGGAACAATAGCACAGCAGTTAGGGCGTTTGCCTTGCAAGCGGCCGACACCGCCAACCCCAGTTCGATTCCTCTGCCCCTGTCATAGAGCCCGGCAAGCTACCGAGAGTATCTTGCCCGCACAGGAAAGCCTGGCAAGCTCCCCGTGATGTATTCGATACGCCAAACACAGTAACAAGTCTCACAGTGGAGACATTACTGGTGCCCACTCGAGCAAATCGATGAACAATAGTAGGACAGTGTAGTGCAGTGCTATGCTACTTTTATTTTACTGTATTACTATATTTTGGTGTGGGTGCCTTACCTGGTGGTGCTCAGATGTTATTCCTAGCTTAGTGCTTAGGGGTCTCTCCCAGTGGTGCTCAGGGGATCATGTGCTGCAGAGCAAACCTGGGCCTCCTGCATACAGAGTATGTGCTCGGGTTTGTCCAGTTATCTCTTTGACCCTGGGTCATGGTTTTGAAGTTCCTGAGTTAAGTGTGTGGGCTATAGGTACCAAAAAGATAGTACAGCAGTTAAGGAGCATGCCCCTCCACCCCCCCCAAAAAAAAAGAAGAACAAAAGAGTGTGTGGTTCTTGATACCCAAAAGTAGAGAACAGAAGTGTTTTCATTTTAAGACTGTTTCCCTTTCTCTCTCTAGTGCTGCCACCCTGATGGGTAGTCCCTGCGTACTTGGTTGCAGGGATCGCTTGCTGGGGGGAAGGGGGTCTCACACTCTGATTACTGCCACTCAAGCACACTTGGGAGCTCATGCTTGGTTGCAGTATGGCGGAGATTAGTTGTGCCATCAGGGATCCCAAGTGACAGTGCCACTGACAGCGCACTCAGCATGTGTGGTAAAGCTGAGGATTGCACTTGGGACCTCAGGCTTTTGAGGCATGTCCCTTACCAGTCCTTTTAAATATCTGTCAAGTTTGTAAAACAACTACTATGCCTTTTTCATGAATTATGGTTAGTGACATTAGGGTGAATGTTTTATAAGATAGTGAATGGTGAATTTTAAATACTCCTACAGTAGGTTTCTATTTTGTGAGAATTTTTTTGTTGTTGTATGTGAAATATAAAAATGGCTGCCTTGCTGGGGGCTGGAGTGATAGCACAGCGGGTAGGGCATTTGCCTTGCACGGGGCTGACCCGGGTTCGATTCCCAGCATCCCAGGAGTAATTTCTGAGTCCAGAGCCAGGAGTAACCCCTGTGCATCGCCAAGTGTGACCCCCCCCCCAAAAAAATAGTTGCCTCACTTAAAAAGACCAAAAAGAATAATAATAAAAAGACACTAATTTGCTTTAATTTCTGTTGACAGCTATTTGTTTCTGGATTGATTTGGGTGTGCTTTGTGTTGTCAGTATTCTAATGCATAGTCTCAAAATTGTAATTTGTGTAAAATAGGACCTCTACCCAGTTTCATTTCCAGTCTGCTCCATTTTACCTCAAAACATAACCTTTTATCTCACCACAGTTGATCTCACTGTCTTGCTTTTCTTGACAATAAAATTGATGCTTGAGTTTTCCTTCACATTTTAAGTTGTACCCTAGATCTTTGAAGAAATGGAACTTGTAATAAATGAATGTAATGACCAGAACAGTATCATCTTCTGCCAAAATACCAAATGCCTGGAAGTTAGGCCATTCTGATTGAAACACAGCATGAGAATTAGACATTGACAATAAAAAATAAAAATGAAAACTCTGCAGGTAATTTTGATATTGTTGCCAGGATAAGAATCATTAACCTATGGTGTGAAATGATATCTCGTTGTTTTGATCTGCATCTCCCTGATGATTAGTGATGTAGAACATTTTCTCATGTGCCTTTTTGCCATTTGGATTTCTTCTTTTTTTTTTATTCTTCTGTTTTATTTCATCTATTATCTTTATTATTTTCTTCTTTTTTAAAAAAATTTTTATTAGTGAAACACCATGAGGTACAGTTGTAGACTTACAAATTTTTGTGCTTGGGTTTTAGTTATACAATGATCCAGTACCCATCCCTCCAGAGCTCCCATTTGACCCAGCAATACCACTCCCTGGAATATATCCCAGAAAGGCAAAAAGGTATAGTCAAAGTGACATCTGCAATTGTTTGTTCATTGCAGCACTCTTTACAATAGCCAGAATCTGGAAAAAACCTGAGTGCCCGAGAACAGATGACTGGTTAAAGAAACTTTGGTACATTTACACAATGGAGTACTATGTAGCTGTTAGAAAAGATGAAGTTATGAAATTTACATACAAGTGGTACTACATGGAAAGTATCATGTTAAGCGAAATGAGTCAGAAAGAGCGGGATAGACACAGAAAGATTGCATTCATCTGGGGAACATAAAGCAACAAAACGGGAGACTAACACCCAGGAATGGCTGAGATTAGTACCAGGAATTTTGCTCCATGACTTGAAGGCCAGCCACATGTGCTAGGTGAAAAGGAAGCTCAGATAGAGAAGAGAGCACCAAATAAAGGGTGTTGTGAGCCCCTCCCAGGGTGGGAGAAGCGTGCTAAAAGTAGTCTATAGACCAAACATGATTGCCACTCAGGGCCTCTCTTGAAAAACACAGTACCCAAAAGAAGAGAGAACAAGGGGGAATGCCCTTCCACAGAGGCAGGGTGGGATGGGGGTATGGGGGGTTGGAGGGATGCTGGACCCATGGTGGTGGTGGATGGGCACTGGTGGAGGGATGGGTACTTGATCATTGTATAACTGAAACCCAAGCACAAAAATTTATAAGTCTACAACTGTACCTCATGGTGTTTCACTAATTTAAAAAAAAAAATTTTTTTTTAAAGTATAGTCGAAGTGACATCTGCACTTGTTTGTTCATTGCAGCACTCTTTACAGTAGCTAGAATCTGGAAAAAACCTGAGTGTCTGGATTTCTTCTTTGAGAAAGTTTCTGTTCATTTCATTGCCCCATTTTTTGATGTGGTTGGATGATTTCTTCTTGTGGAGTTCAGCCAGTGCTTTGTATATCCTTGATATCAACCCCTTATCGAATGGGTATTAGACAAATCTCCTTTCCCATTCTGTAGACTGTCTTAGTATTTTGGTCACTGTTTCTTTTGAGGTGCAGAAGCTTCTTAGTTTAAAATAATCCCATTTCTATCTCTGTTTTCACTTGCTTGGCCAGTGGCATGTCATCTTTGAAGATACTGTTAGCTTCATATGGATTCCAGTCTGATGTTGAGGTCTTTAATCCATTTTGATCTTACTTTTGTACATGGTGTTAGGTAGACATCTGAGCCCACTTTTTTGCATGTAGCTGTCCAGTTTTGCCAGCACAATTTGTTAAAGAGACTTTCTTTGCTCCACTTCACATTTCTTGCTCCCTTATCAAAGATTAGATGATCATATATTTGGGAGGACAACCAGTGTTGGCACAGATGTGGTGAGAAAGGGACCCTCCTTCACTGCTGGTGGGAATGCTGACCAGTTCAGCCCTTTTGGAAAACAGTATGGATGATTCTCAAAAAATTAGAAATTGAGCTCCCCTTTGACCCAGCAATACTACTCCTGGGAATATATCTTGGAGAAGCAAAAAAGTACAGTTGAAATGACATCTGTGAAGTCATGAACTTTACATACAAGTGGTACAATATGGAAAGTATCATGCTAAGTGAAATGAGTCAGAAAGAGAGGGATAGACATAGAAAGATTGCATTCATCTGGGGGATATAAAGTAACAAAATATGAGATTAATACCCAAGAATAGCTGAGATCAACACCAGGAGAATTACTCCATAACTTAGAGGCCAGCCGGGTATTCTAGAGGAAAGGACAATTCAGATAGAAAGGGGAACACCAAGTGGAGGGTGTTTGGAGGACCCTCCCAGGAGGGGAGATGCAGGTTGAAAGTAGACTGGACTGAACATGTTCGCCACTCAATGCCTCTTTTGCTGATCACAACACCCAAAAGGAGAGAGAGAACAAAAGGGAATGCCCTGCCACAGTGGCAGGGGGGAATGGGGGGATGGGGGGGAGGGATATTATCCTGGTGGTGGAAAATGGGCACTGATGGAGGGATGGGTATTTGATCGTGGTATGACAGAGATCCAAGCACAAAAATTTGTAAATCTACAACTGTAGCTCATGGTGTTTCAATAATAATTAAAAAAAAAAAATACTTTTTTCCCTAAAAAAGAAAAAAAAAAGCAATGACATCTGCACTTCTATGTTCATTGCTGCACTGTTCACAATAGCCAAAATTTGGAAAAAACCCGAGTGCCCAAGAACAGATGACTAGTTTAAGAAACTTAGGTACACCTACACAATGGAATACTATGCAGCTGTTAGAAAAGATGCATGAAATTTACATACAAGTGCTTCTATATGGAAAGTACCATGCTAAGGAAATGAGTCAGAAAGAGAGGGACAGACATAGAAAGACTGCACTCATCTGGGGAATATAATAAAGTAACAGAATGGGAGTCAAACACCCAAGAATAGTTGAGATAAGTACCAGGAGGTCTGCTCCATGGCTTGGAAGCCGCCGCACATGCTGGGGGAAAAGGAAGCTCAGATAGAGAAGGGAACACCAAGTAAAGGATGTTTGGAGAACTCACTCGGGATGCAAGATGTGTGCTGAAAGTAGACTATAGACTGAACACGATGGCTACTCAATACCTCTATTGCAAACTACAACACCCTAAAAGGAAAGAGAGAGCAAAAGAGAATGCCCTGCCACAGAGGCGGGGGGGGGGGGGGGGGGGTTGGGGGTTGGGCGGGGGGATGGGAGGGCTACTGGGATCATTGGTGGTGGAGAATGGGCACTGGTGGAGGGATGGATACTCGATCATTGTACAGCTGAAACCCACGCACCAGAGTTTGTAAGTCTACAACTGTACCTCATGGTGTTTCAGTAATAATAATTTTAAAAAAAAATCAGGGGCTGGAGCGATAGCACAGCGGGTAGGGCATTTGCCTTGCACGTACCCAACATGGTCGACCCAGATTCAATTCCCAGCATCCCATATGGTCCCCCGAGCACCGCCAGGAATAATTCCTGAGTGCATAAGCCAGGAGTAACCCCTGAACATCGCCGGGTGTCACCAAAAAAAAAATCATTAACCTAAATAGAACAGTAAGATTGTGGTCATATTTTAAAAGGATATAAATTATTCTCTTACTTGGCTTAATTAATGCCCAAGGTAAATACTCAAGAATGAGATTTTTGAATATGTGGTCTGGTTTTTCAAAATCATGTGTCCTGTATCAGTTTCTGCCAAGTCTCTCAGAAAAGCTTTTATAACATAACTCATGGGCATTGGGAGTCTTGACTTAAATAAAAGTCAATTTACTTGAATCCAAATTCCCTTATTTTATTTTTGGAGTTTTTGTGTTTTGAAGCTATACTGGTAGTGCTCAGGGGCTACTTACCGTGGCATTTTGAGTTCCAGGCAGTGTTAGGAATTGAACCAGGGTTTCGTGCATGCCAACCGTGCGCTTTAGCCCTTTAAAGTATCTCCCTGACCTCAGCTCAGTTTCTTTAAAGGTTCGATGGTTAATTGAGAGACTAGAGAGATAGCTCAAGGCTTAGCTCAAAAACCAAAAAGGAAAAAGAAACAAAACTGTTACAAGTATTCTGTTTTCCACATTAGAAAAAATACAACATGTGCACATACCCATCTTTCTTTTATGTAAATATATATAATTGTCATTTATTATTGACA